CACACACACACACACACACACACACACACACACACACACACACAACACCGCTTCTACATGCTGCGCTCGAACCACGGGCAGCTGAGAGTCCAAGCCGCCAACAGATCGACAGTTGCTCTGACTTTGGTTGAGCGACTGGCCAGGCTGCTGCACCGCAGCCAGGACACACTCGGGGCACCTGACCCTGGGTAAACTGACAAATGCCTGGCCTGTGGGTGTGCCTGCAGAATGATGTGGTCCTGAGGCCGTCTTGACCTCTCTGCACTTGGCACGCAAACACTTGTACGCGCACTTGTTGATGCCGCACTATTTCTGCCCTGTTCTCCCAGCTTAAAACTTCAATTTAATTGCACTTTGCATTCAGCCAGACTTGTTTGTTTTACTTGGCTTCATGACATATCTCTATGGATGCTTCTGTATCTAATTAACATCCTGAAGTCATCACATTTTTTATAACTAAATCACAAATTAATTGTTGCTTTGTTAGTTTTAGCGACACTCACTTCATGCAGTTTCTTTGAACAAGTTCCTCTGTTCATAAATCTGTTTCTGGTTTCACGCTGTCATGTATTTGGGTACAAACACTCGAAAATCACATGTTACACTGGCTATATGTCACAGCGGTGCAGTGAACAGCAGAGTTGTTGAACTCTTTCTGACAAAGCTGTTAATTTCCCTGAAAGCAGGAACGGATTCCAGTGACCCACTCTGTCCCCGTCCCGTCTTCCCTCCAAAATGCCCAGCTGTTGCTTCGGCAGACAGCTGCTTTGGGGGCAGAACAAATCTCAGCTGTCGAAGGGGAGCCGACTGCGGGGGTTGGTGGATTTTGAGGTTTGCGTTCGCTCAAACCCAATGACACTTCACTCTCCTGCTCGGCATGAAGCTGGGCGGTGCTTGATAAAATGCTGACGTGCAGCAGCAGGTATAGGAGCAGAGAGCAGATGCTACAAGTCTCAGTGTGTTTACAGTCGGTAAGCCCTAAAGGGTAATCACTCGTAGATGCAGCAGGCTCTTAATCACTCCTTCATTAAAACCAGGTTTGTCAAAGCGAAGGAACATCTAAAACATGGATGGTGGCCCTTGAGGATAAGATTGGATTCCACAGCAGTAGACAGGCTTTAATGTTTAGAATCACTGAAAATAATCTTGAAGATAATCTGTTAGGAGCTCAGACTATGTGTCACAGATCAGTATCAGCTACTACCACAGCAAACATTAGCTAAACAGATGTAAAAATGAACAAGTAATAGTCCATTTGTGATTTTTTTCAGTTGGTTGTGGCAGCCATCTCAAATTTGGTTATTTAGTTGTAGATTTAAAGAGTCGCTTCTTGCAGGTTTTACTGAAATGAAGCATTATGATAACAGAGGAAGAAGATATGAGCAAAAACTTTATTGTTCACCTTCTGCCTTCTAGTGGATAGAGACAAAACACCATTTGTTGTTTTGGATCCAGTGTCTGCCAAAAAGTGATGGATTATTTTAAACTGTGTGTAATGT